TATATATATAAAATATAATTTTTAAATTTTTTTGGTGGTAAATGTATTCAACTTTTTTGAGTTACCGTCTTGTTTTTTTTTGGGGGGGGGTTGTTTTTGTTTTTGAAAATGTTCCAAAATACTGCATCTAATTTTTTTCAAGACAAAATACCTAATTTACATTTTATACACAGGTTTTCTAAAAAAGTACATTTTATATTCCGATACTTTGAATTGTTAAGAAATGTCTCAACACCAACTGCACATTTTTTTTAGGATGAGGCTCATTCCAAACAAGACTTTCCATTTCGAGAATAAAAAATGACCAAAGTATAAAAACCTGTTCAAAGCTTTATCGGCGACTGTTGGTTGGGCGAATCCTTGTTGGGCGGCTGCTTGTTGGGCGACTTCTTGCACAGTCAGCTCGGAGATTTCTCGTTCAACTGCGTGCATACGACAAGTCGGCGTAAGAGTTTAGTGAGCGTGCGGTTGGAGTTGCAGAGTGCGGGCGGGGCAGGGGTAACCGACCGGCGGCGGCACCGCAGGAGTGCGAGGGCGTGACGGAGGCGCAGGTGCTCTCGTACTGGCATCGCTGGTTGATGCCCAAAGCGGGAGACCAGATAGGACTTTCCAACAGTCGCTGGCCGCGAGAGCCATACTCCTGACCGGACACCTGCAAGCACGCACGCATGCACACACACACACACACACACACACACACACACACAATTGGTACAACATTTTTGAAGATACACAACTTTTACCAAATATGACTTTTCTGAAATACTGTTTTTTCCCCCAAATATTCAGGATTTTAAAAATATTTGTATTCTTTTTATTGTATTCATTTTTAAATTTTTTATAATGTTATTTTATTATATTTTCATTCTATTATATTGTAATTTTACTCTATAGTCTACACTTTCCATCTTTCTTAAAAAAAATATACACTTCCCCCCTCCAAAAAAAAAGAAAAATTAACATTTTAAATTTTTTTTTCAAAAATCTGTATTTAATTTTCCTTTGACTGTTCTGATGATTATTTGATTATGAATTTGTTGGCACCGTGCCGATGGGAAGGTGGCGGTAGTCAAGTCGTCCATTGAGGAGGAAGGTGACGAGCGGACTCCACGGCGTGGAGTTGAAGTCCCCGCACAGAAGCACGGGGTGGGCGGCGCCATTCGGGAGGCGGGCCAAACGGCCAATCTCGGCCAATAGGATGGCCAGCTGGGCCAGCTTGACGTCGCCCCGCCGCGGGTTGTACAGAAGGTGCGTGTTGGCCACGCACAAAACGTCGCCGTCATCCACCCCGGCGCCCGCCGGCCGCAGCAGGACCACCAATCCCACGTTGTCGCGGTCCAGGAGGGCGTCGCCCGGCCGGAAGAACTCGACGGGGTTGGATGAAAGCAGGCACAGGCGCGAGGTCTTGAAGGCCACGACGCAGCCGTCTGGCTTCTTGCCCGTGCGCTTCTTGTACACGCACTCGTAACCTCAAAACATCGTCAAACATCAGCATAATCAGTCACAACAACAACAAAAATCTTTTTCGACCTGTCACATGTTCTTCCTTCAAGTGAGTATCACGGAAAAGTGTGAGTGACCAAAAAAAAACAAACAAACAAAAAAAAAACCAAATAGTTACAGAATTTAATGCAGTTCTAAAAAACTATTTGAAAGAAAAAAAAAAAAAAAACAATCTGAAAATATGAAATCTCCTCGCCAACGGAAAAGTACCTTGTGCGTGTAGCGCCGGCCGTATCTGATTTTCAAAGTGGTCCTCCTGAACTTCCTGAAGGCACAGCACCTGAGTGGACAAGGGCACAGAGGTCAAACGTCACATGGGGCGAAGGTTAACCTCGGCGCAACGCGGCGGGCCTCACGTCAGCATCGTAGTGGCGCAGTTCAGCCAGTAGATTGCGCAGCCGGTGCGACCAGCGCAAGGCGGCGGGCGGGCAGTGAGTGTACAAGTAGCCGTTAGCTCGCAGCAGCTCCTGCGACAGGATGTTGTACGACATCACCGACAAGTCCAATGCTCTGCCACCCCTGTGTGGCGCCATTGCTGTGGCGCAGGCTGGCGACCCTTCCCACCATCTGGGCAGCAGCGACTCCCAACCTTTATTCCGCCGAGGCACAAATTTGACATGCAAAGAAAATATTTCCAGGCCTTTGAAGTGTTCATTGCATCTTTTTTTTTAGAAATTCCACAAAGGTTCGAAATGTCACATGTGCTCCACACGCTCACCTCGCATTGGAGCTTGAAGGTCAGGTGATTCGGTTCCCGGTGGAGGAGGCTCCCCGACAGCATCCCTGGAGGACGTTCCGAGCATCTCGTCTACGCAGCGCAGATCCGATTTGGACCCTCGGCTTTGTGACATTGTGTGCTTGCCTGCGTCTTTGCGCTCGCTCATGTCCCTCATAGTCCTTGCCACATGCTTGCTTTTAAAATCTTCGCTCAAAACTTTTCCAGGCCGGCTAGTGTCTCTCGGGCGAGAAACCCCCCTTAAGCCGGGGCCTCCTCCTCCTCCTCTGTTTGCATCCCTATCTTTGACGCTCCTCTTCTCCTCCGCGCTCCTACTGCGTTTGGAAGGAGGCTCGTGGTCCATCATCAGGGCAGGGTACGTGGACACCCAGCGAGGACTTGTGAGGCAGACGAGGGCCAGCCGGCAGACGGACAGATGTTGAGGAAGGAGGCCGCTGCCAATGCCGCTCAACAGGCCAAGAAACATAATGCGACTGGCACCAAGAAGAAGAAGAAAATAAAGATGAATTCATTGTCACTGAATGGAAAACACTTTTTTCCCCACACACAAAAAAATCACACAAGATATCTAAAAATAAAAATTCATCCAGAACAATGTGACTGATTTGCCTTATTTCAGACATGCCTGAGAAGCTGTTAAAAAAATCAAATCACAATTAAACAACGGAGAGGAAAGTTAAACATGAACTGGAGTGATCACTACTCGACGTCTCACACCAATCACATTGAGTTTCCATTTGTCTTTTAGGTACTCACGTCGTTTCTCGGTCAGTGACGGAGACATAATTCGTTTCCAAAGCACTATTTTAATAAAAATTACTGAGTATTTATAGAGAGGATAATAAATATGTAGTACCAGGTCTGGTTGTGACAATATACACCGACTGTCGTCGACATTATACGTCATTGCTACGTAAGAATAAGGCGTCAGAATCCACTGATACGTTTATGACTTTGGAACATCGAAATATTTTAGAGGTTTATGCTCAAATGTTTGCATAAAAATGACATATTAGTTTAAATATTTCATTTAAATCATCTGATGAATAGTAACTGTAAATTAATTAAACTGTTTTCTTCTCCACAACTCACATTTCATTGGCGGCAGAAAAAGCAAATATTTTTCCGAAAGACTTTGAACGCAGCACCAGAAGTCGACTCTTCATTCGTTTGTGTGCTTGTGTGGCTCATAAGTTAGTGATGAGATTTTCGTCTCTTTTCGGTGATCCGGTTCATTTGGATCGGCTCAGTGAAAAGAGTCGGCTCTTTATGGCTCTAAAACGGCTCTTTTAACTTTAGCTTTTCTTTTAAACATTTATGACAAATTTAGCATACATTTTGATAAATGACTTGGTGAACTTAATCTTGCACTCTACTGACTGCAAATAGCAACAATTATCAAGCAAAGAAATGACTTTTTACTTATTTTATCGAACATTAAAATGGCTCCAAACAATAAACAAGCAACAAAATTAAACTTCAACCAACAACAATCAAATATGCTGCATCATAACAAAAATAGTGAGTATCAACTGCAACAGCAGCAGTGAACAAAACAAACATCAGCTACTCCTTGCTTTATTTTAAATTTGTAGTCAACAAAACTAAATACTTCAACTTGGAATACTTCAATTTGTCCAGTCTTTGAGAACACCCTCTCTGACGGGACAGATGTTGCTGCAATGCACAATCTACTCTCCATTACTTTGATCAAACGGGGGTAGACGGAAGCTCGGTATTTCCACCAGCTCAGTGGATCAGCTGCCCTTGAAATCTGTGGTTCTTCAATATATGTCCTAATTTAGTGCTTTGTGTGTTTGCACGCTTGGCTAATACTGTAAATTAGATTCAGATTGCTTGCCCAACGCCTTTGTGGTTTCCCGGACAGTAGGGGGCGATATGAACTAAAGACATCAAATTCACCAAGAAGAAGAAGAAGTACAAGCACAAGAACGGTACCACATCCGGTTCAATGAGCAAGTTTTTCCGCTGTCCACAAGCCCTGTTCTCTGTGAGTAATTTTAACATTTTAAACTGTCTTCGCAGTTTATCTCTGAGTGTATAGATGTAGACAATTGGGGAGAGTTATTACGACACGTTGCTCCTTTAATTTTGTTGTTGTGACTCACTAAGTCACTGGAAGTTATCGTAAAAAAACAACGTCAGCAAAGGGAGCAGCGAGCGAGCACGCCGCCGACAAGTAGACCTCAGATGTCAATCAAAAAGCAATCGCGAACAGCGTTTGACTTGAATACTATTCTGTATGTTTTCCACACCAAAGCTGCTTTCAGCAGTGGAAGTGTGATGGCTTCACATCAGTGGGGGGCAAATTTGTTTCAAAACTGTTCCCACAAATGCACCCGTGATTTGGACTTGGATCGCTCAAACAGATGCATTGCGAGTGCGGGCACGTTTGGAAATGGACGGGTTGAAAGTAAAAGTCTGCCACTTTACGAATAATGACTCAAATTCAATAGAAAAAAAAGAAACAACTTTTTTTATGGACTACAGTGTGTGACTTTCCACTTTTGTTTTGTTTTTCTGCCGGACCAGATGAGTAAGATTACTGGGCCAAAGGCGCAGCCGCCAGACTCGGAGGACATGCGGAAGGGACGCCAACCTGCATTTGGACACGTGTGAGTACTGAGCTGTGTGGTGTGCTTGAAGAGCTGATGTCTGATGTCACGTTGCACCACAAGGTGGAGGTGAGTGTGCCCGCCTGTCTGTCTCTCACGCAACTTAAACTTCTGCTTCATGTACTGCACAACAGTGTCAACTCACATAGACAACCCGAGCATCATCAAGCACTTCTGGAATATGTTTTTAAACCTTGAAGTGGACCAAGTTAGTTTAAAAATGTGTCTATGTATGCATATATACCGTATATAATATATACATACATATGACATTTAAAAACTTGACCAGAAGAGTGTGATCATGTTGTTGTGGAGTACACGGCAGTTAGTTTTTGTCTCAGTGAGAGAAGTCGGACGTGCTCATGTCCCCCTTGGCGTGTCATGAGATGTCAGTGACATCACGCACAAGCTGGTCAAGCACATGCTCTCATCTCAGGCCTGTCGTCAGTGTTTGTGTGCGTTCAACTTGAACTGGCCCACACAAAGATTGACTGGTCAAATGCTTTTACATTGTCATGTTCGCTTTTCTGTCCAATAAATTGTTCAACTTGAATTCGAGTCTTTGCCTATCATGACCAAATCCATCCTCAACTCACTCGAAGCCTTTTCAAAGACTGAAGTCTTGAGCTCAGACTTGCGCTTCAGTCACATCAGACAGTCTTTTCACTGCTCCCGTTGGTCTCCACATGACTCGAAACTCTAGGAATCGAGCTTTTGGGTCATGTGAAACCGACGGGAACAGTGAAAAGACTGATGCGACCCAAGTGCAAGTCTGAGCTCAAGAGTCAAGTGGGACTTTGAAAAAGTGCTGCAATGCCCGCCCCAAACCACACCCAATTTGACATCCACCAATTGCGGTGAGGCCCGTCATTTGCATAACCACATCCCAAATTTACATAACTGTGCCCACTTGCCAAATTCTGACCAATCAGAGTACTCCAAATTTGCATAACCACGCCCCGAGAGAGCCCACCAATCAGAGAATGCGCAATATGCATAACCACTCCCCCTTTCCACCAATCACAGCATGTTATCGTCAAGCTCCACCCACTTTCACAGCTATCAGCGAATCATCAGCCATCATTCCAACCAGGCCACACCCACTTTCTTTGGATTTTTCTGTCTGAAAAAAAAAATCCAGGAAAAAAAAAATTTTGTCCACCAATCACAGCATGTTATCGTCAAGCTCCACTCACTTTCACAGCTATCAGCGAATCATCAGCCATCATTCCA